ATTCATTTGGCTGAATGTTGCATGTACTTATTAAGAGGCAGAAGAAGCCTTCGACATCCCCACTCATCACCAAAAGAAACCTTTTGTCTGACTCCTTTCAGACATCAACGAATGCATGCGACAGTCAGAGGTTTACCTTCAGTGCGACCACATGTGCATCAACACTGTCGGCACCTACCGTTGTGAGTGCAACTCGGGCTACACACTTGACGCTGACGGACACGGCTGTACTGGTAGGAAATCATTTTGTTCTTTATTTCTCTCGATTTCTTTGGTCCTTATGACTTTCATGTTTACTTGAATCTCAGCAACAGCTGGAAGCAGATGCTTAGAAAGAGTCTAGATTGCACGGTTACCATCTTTGTTTCAATCCTGTCGTGCAAAACTGCATGTGGAGTAAATGGGGCCCTGGGAACACTCTATTTCACGTTAGGCCTGTAAGGAAGTGGAAAAGGGACTATAACACAGCAAACCTCTATGAGCATACTTACTCGTAATTCTGACGGAGAAACGCTTTTGAAGTCAGGAAATAACATTCTTCCTCTTTCCAAAATGTGATACTAAGATTTCCAATTTCAGCCGACACGTTATATGAATCGACACAAGAGGATGACTTGGGACAAAGTTGTACTGTAGTTGATGTGGTTTATTCGGTTTGCTCGATGTGTGGCTCTCTGCCTGATTGCTAGAGCTCATAGGGATTTTATACATTTGATGGACATTCAATTTTTCATCCATCATACAAGTTTCCTTGCCTTATTAGGTATTAGCTACTATTCTTTGAATATTAATACAGCGTGCATGAATATGTTTGGTTCATTTGGATTTGAGGGTAGGGTTAGTCAAATTAATGAACACTGACTTTTCCTTATAAGGCCAGTGGGCTGCCTCATGACCCATCCGGTCCAGCCCTGCTTTCCTCCCCAAGGGTCTTGTGGTTAAACTAGCCATTCTTTAAGTGACTCTCATCACTTGGAAAGCGGTTCTACTCTTAAAGGTCAATCCGAGCAACTTAGGTAGCAATACAACATGTGCCATTGTAACATGGTGATATACCCATTCCGGATACGAACAGGGTTTGGACCAAGCATAGGCTAGGAGCTTCCATTGCTAGGAAAATTGCACCCTCTCTTTGTCACGCTATTTGGAAAGACCGATGAAGGCTGTTTGCAGGTTTCAATCCTTTACTGTGACGGTCTGGACTGTAATAAATACACCATGAAATGTAAATGGCACTCGTCTTTCTGAATTACAGATATTGATGAGTGTTCCATGTCCCGCACCCAAGACTGTCACCATAAGTGCGTGAACACACCCGGCAGCTATAGGTGTGAATGCTATCCCGGGCACAGCCTTCTATCAGACGGAAAAGAATGCAGTGGTAAGGCATAATCGGCTCCGCAGCCTTGGAGTAGGCCTTAGTCTTGCACTACTCTGTTGAAAAAAATTGAAAAGATGATCGATCTGACTCAAGTGTGTAGACAGAAGGAAAGATTACGAAAAAAAACGAAATAAAAACAAAAAGAGGGAATGAAAATAATACTTATTTAATGGCGAACACTTCAACTTAAGCAATATGTTATATAAATTGATTTTGTTTTTGTTTTATTTTACATCTTCCACTCCCCTGGCTAGCCTGAATTACGATGAAAATTAATCAGATGAAACATCAAAACTACACTCTAACTAAACTGATTATTAAAAATAAATAAAAGGTTACTATAATAGTTATAATCTAACATTGCCAAAGTAATAAGATATTAAAATGGACAAACAATCCAAATTCCCAAACGGCTCACAAATTTCCTATCAAACGCAAAGCTTTATATATTTTGTACTTGGCGAAATACCATTTCAAAACAAAACACCAGGATAGGTAAACAAAATACTGGATGATGTTGTTTCTCAACCGGGAGGTCCTGGTATGCGGGAAACATAATGTGCGTTATGTAGGCTGCGGGAATGACACCTCAAATGTGGTAGGGGGTGGTCCTCAGTCAGGGTAAACTTGGAGAGGCCTTCAGCAAAATGCTGGCAGTGACTTCCTCTTCTAGCAAACAGAGTCTCAAGCTCGCTGTCCTGAAGAGCATCATTATTATGTGGTAAAGTTGATGTCCGGTGTTATCTGATTGAAAAGATTAAGTACATGTTAATGAGGAATACCACACTACATCTGCATATTCTAGCAATGGGCGGACATAATCTTTATACACAATCACAAGTTCTCGCTTGGCGAACCCACACTTTTTCAGGAAACGGAGCTCACACACTTTGCTGTCAGGTTTGACGGAAATCTCAGAAACGTTTTTATTTCATTGAAGGTTGTTTTGTATCCAGACACCTT